TATAATTATAATTAGAAAATTCTTGAATTTGTAATATTTTTAATTGGCAACAGTTTTTCTTAATGAATTTTTCAAAGTTATCAAACCGTACACATTACATTGATGAATACGGAGGTATGTCAAGTTAGATATTCTCAGTGATATTTCATGTTTGTCATTGTCATTCGATGGAATTAATTTAGTGCAAATTAAACGGCGTAATTGTGGTGTATAATAAATAATAGAAGTAAGTCCATACAGAGTACAATCATGACCGATATGTAGACATTCTATCATACTAAATTGTTCATTGTTAGAGAGAGATAATAAATTAACGTATGGAGCTGGTATAGATAAAGATAAAGAACTAGATTTCAAATAAAGTAATTGGAAAATCGCGGAATATATATCTCGAAGATTAACATCAGAATGATCATACTTATAAAAATGAATGGTTAATTTCAAGAGACGAGGTAGAGATCTTAAAGAAGAAAGCATTGCGATTGGTTCAGATGGTAAAAGACTATGAACAGTAATTGATTCAAGACAATTAAATGAAGAATCAATGACACAATGCATAAAAAATTCCTTAGCAAAGATTGTGTTCCACAAATGAATAGAAATAACTCGGTATTTATTGGGAGTAATAATATTTTTCCAGCAATCTCTTATGTCTAATTTTGAATTATTATCAAATGCAATTCTAAGTAACAATAATTTGGATCTGATAAGCTTCTGAAAACGACGATTAAGTTTTGAAAATGCTTTACATATCGTACAACCATCGAGATAATCAAAAATTTCATAATAAATTTCATTTGATAAATCTTCGAAACGAGTGATCGAACTCCTATATGAAAAAAAGTGTAAAATATGATTGAAATGCATTTGATTACTTACTTTTTGTTATTATGTTTTGCTAGTAAGATAGAAAAAAAGAATTATTTTAAATATAAATATGAGATGACTTACATCGTATCTTTTTTGTTTCGATATCAGAAGATTTATTCAATATCGGCTTTCGTTTAGTTCGACGTATTTTCATCTAAGGATTTTAAAAAAATCTAAAAAAAAACACATACATGTGCTTGAAGTGCGTTTTGATAGGAGAGAGATGGAGAGTATTTATTTGTTTTTTTTCTTTTCTCGTTCGTATTTTTTATTTGTCTTCAATCTTGACTTTTTCGTTGGAAAAAACCAAAAAATAAAGAAAAGAAGAAAATCAAGGTAATAATTAAACAGAAAGACACTCTTTGATGAAGGGTATTATTTTCATGTAAAGTTTCACTACAAATAAAGTTCGTCTAACGATGTCTTACTAATCAAAATAAACAATATATCTAATTATTTTTCTGTACTATCGTCATTTAAATTCATAAGTATATTTATCATTTATTATAAAAGTAATAATTTCTTCGGTCGTATATATCAAGAATAAAATATTCAACTAACTCGCAGAACTGAAGAACATACATAGAAATTGACCGAAAAAGGCGATCTGACTGTTCCAGTTTTATTCAAATTAATACACAGGCTAATAAGCGTCTCAATATATAATAATTCCCTAGGATATTACCATGGAAATCAAAATTAACATGTCAACGCTTGCCAACCAGA